CATTCAGCTTACATCCGATAATCACCCCATCTAGAAATCTCAGATTCTATAGTTGTTTGCTGCTAATGGATTTGATGGATATTTAGACGGTTCAACAGCTAAACTGCCCAAACAGTTGCTAGCTTCGGATGGATCTGTTACTATCAACCCAAACTTTCACACTTGCATGCCGATAGACCAAAATTTTGCAGCTGCGTTATATTCCACTTTTTCTCCATCCTTGTTGCCTTATGTGCTCAACCTAGACTCTTGACATGTCATCTGGCAGACAATCGACAAGCGTATGCAATCAACTAACATATCTTGTATTCTACAATTGAAAAATGAATTGCATCAACTTCAAATGAAAGAAAAATCAATGTCCTAATATCTGTCTGAGATAAAACAGAAAGTTGATGCCATCACAGCTGCAGGTTCTTTTGACGATGCTAAAGACGTTATCATCTACACCTTGAATGGATTACCTGCTGCTTACAATGCCTTCAAAACATCTATCCGCACTAAGTTGCAACCTATCAGCTTTAGATAACTTCTACACAGTCCTTTGTAGTGAAGAACTCAATATAGCAGCCGATAATATTGTCGACTCAACGGCTGGAACTCCAGACTCAACCATTGCTCTTCAAGCTGTGCGAGGACGCTTCCATAGTCGTCCTCCTCCCGCATCTGCACTAGGTCGCTCTTTTCATAATGCTGCTCGTGGAAGTCGCTCATTTCAATCTTTCACTCGAGGTGGTCGTCATTCCTGCCCCTACATTGAATGCCAGATCTGCGGCAAGTTCGGTCATGCTTCTTCCCAATGTTGGCATCACATGGATCCAACATTTCAATCTCCGCCACAAGCTCACATTGCTTAGGATATCTCTTTAGGTGATTCTGATTGGTTCCTTGACATAGGTGCCACCTCTCATCTATCCTCCAACCTAGCACAACTGCAATCTTCTTAGATCGACACAGGTTCATCACAAGTACAAGTTGGGAATGGTAATTTACTTCCCATTGCTCACTCAGGTCAAGGCATCCTCCCAACTCCAAACCGTAAGCTTCTCCTACATCGTTTTTTACATGTTCCAAACCTCTCACATAATATTTTCTCTATTTATAAACTCACCACTGATAATCCATGTTATGTTTGCTTTGATGCTCATGGTTTTTGATAGGAAATACTTAGATCCAAGTATTCCTATCGCTCCACGTGGAGAAAACAACAAGAAAGTTGATGTTTTCTACAGGAATTCAGCCCAAAATGTATGAAAACAGTAGAAAATCGTAGGAAAACTGAGAGAAAAACGTTCAATGGACTTATATTCTACTAGTAGATGATCAAAGCAAAAGCAAGATACAATGTTCTTCGATTCGAGAGGAAGAACAACTCTCCGATCTTCTCTGGCAACGCCAAGAGCCCAAGCAAGAAAACCCTAGATCTCAAATTACATTCAAATTCAAGATGATCCTCTCTCCCTCCTAATCCTCCTAATTAACAATAAAGGATTCCT